TAGTCTCATCTGACCATATGTTTGGGGAGTCTCTCACATGCCGTTTGGTGAACAACAAACGTGTTTGCTAATTTTTTCTGTAAGCAATTCTTTTTTCTGCCCCACTCTTCCATATAGCCCAGCTCTGTGGAGTGTATGGCTTAAAGTGGTCCTATGGACAGACACTCCAATCTCCGCTGTGGAGCTTTGCAGCTCCTTCAGGGTTATCTTTGGTCTCTTTGCTGCCTCTCTGATTAATGCCCTCCTTGCCTGCTCCGTGAGTTTTGGTGGGCGGCCCTCTCTTGGCAGGTTTGCTGTGGTGGCATATTCTTTCAATTTTTTAATAATGGATTTAATGGTGCTCCATGGAATGTTCAAAGTTTCGAATCTGTTTTTGTAACTCAACCCTGATCTGTACTCCTCCACAACTTTGTCCCTGACCTGTTTGGAGAGCTCCTTGGTCTTCATGGTGCCGCTTGCTTGGTGGTGCCCCTTGCTTAGTGGTGTTGCAGACTCTGGGGCCTTTCAGAACAGGTGTATACAGTGGGGAAAAAAAGTATTTAGTCAGCCACCAATTGTGCAAGTTCTCCCACTTAAAAAGATGAGAGAGGCCTGTAATTTTCATCATAGGTACACGTCAACTATGACAGACAAAATGAGAAAAAATATTCCAGAAAATCACATTGTAGGATTTTTTATGAATTTATTTGCAAATTATGGTGGAAAATAAGTATTTGGTCAATATCAAAAGTTTCTCAATACTTTGTTATATACCCTTTGTTGGCAATGACACAGGTCAAACGTTTTCTGTAAGTCTTCACAAGGTTTTCACACACTGTTGCTGGTATTTTGGCCCATTCCTCCTTGCAGATCTCCTCTAGAGCAGTGATGTTTTGGGGCTGTCGCTGGGCAACACGGACTTTCAACTCCCTCCAAAGATTTTCTATGGGGTTGAGATCTGGAGACTCCAGGACCTTGAAATGCTTCTTATGAAGCCACTCCTTCGTTGCCCGGGTGGTGTGTTTGGGATCATTGTCATGCTGAAAGACCCAGCCACGTTTCATCTTCAATGCCCTTGCTGATGGAAGGAGGTTTTCACTCAAAATCTCACGATACATGGCCCCATTCATTTTTCCTTGACACGGATCAGTCGTCCTGGTCCCTTTGCAGAAAAACAGCCCCAAAGTATGATGTTTTCACTCCCATGCTTCACAGTAGGTATGGTGTTCTTTGGATGCAACTCAGCATTCTTTGTCCTCCAAACACGACAAGTTGAGTTTTTACCAAAAAGTTATATTTTGGTTTCATCTGACCATATGACTTTCTCCCAATCCTCTTCTGGATGCACTCTAGCAAACTTCAGACGGGCCTGGACATGTACTGGCTTAAGCAGGGGGACACATCTAGCACTGCAGGATTTGAGTCCCTGGCGGCGTAGTGTGTTACTGATGGTAGGCTTTGTTACTTTGGTCCCAGCTCTCTGCAGGTCATTCACTAGGTCCCCCCGTGTGGTTCTGGGATTTTTGCTCACCGTTCTTGTGATCATTTTGACCCCACGGGGTGAGATCTTGCGTGGAGCCCCAGATCGAGGGAGATTATCAGTGGTCTTGTATGTCTTCCATTTCCTAATAATTGCTCCCGCAGTTGATTTCTTCAAACCAAGCGGCTTACCTATTGCAGATTCAGTCTTCCCAGCCTGGTGCAGGTCTACAATTTTGTTTCTGGTGTCCTTTGACAGCTCTTTGGTCTTGGCCATAGTGGAGTTTGGAGTGTGACTGTTTGAGGTTGTGGACAGGTGTCTTTTATACTGATAACAAATTCAAACAGATGCCATTAATACAGGTAACGAGTGGAGGACAGAGGAGCCTCTTAAAGAAGAAGTTACTGGTCTGTGAGAGCCAGAAATCTTGCTTGTTTGTAGGTGACCAAATACTTATTTTCCACCATAATTTGCAAATAAATTTATTAAAAATCCTACAATGTGATTTTCTGGATTTTCTTTTCTCAATTTGTCTGTCATAGTTGACGTGTACCTATGATGAAAATTACAGGCCTCTCTCATCTTTTTAAGTGGGAGAACTTGCACAATTGGTGGCTGACTAAATCCTTTTTTCCCCACTGTATATAGTGAGATCATGTGACAGATCATGTGACACTTAGATTGCACACAGGTGGACTTTATTTAACTAATTATGTGACTTCTGAAGGTAATTGGTTGCACCAGATCTTATTTAGGGGCTTCATAGCAAATGGGGTGAATACTTATGCACCACCACTTTTCCGTTATTTATTTTTTAGAATTTTCTGAAACAAGTTACTTTTTTTCATTTCACTTTACCAATTTGGACTATTTTGTGTATGTTCATTACATGAAATCCAAATAAAAATCAATTTAAATTACAGGTTGTAATGCAACAAAATAGGGAATACGCCAAGGGGGATGAATACTTTTGCAAGGCACTGTATCAAGAATCAGGTGAACTCCTTGCAATTCAGTGACAGCTGCTAGACGCTGGAGCGCAAGACCTGCCAGACGAAGTCCTGCATAGACCTTGTATGACTAAGGAGAAGTTGGAGGACCTTTGCAAGAGTCTGGAGGAGGCCACCTCAAGACGGAAAGAGATGGTATGTATTTTAATCTTTGAAAATGTTCCCAGAACCCCCCTCAATTGTCTCAAGGCATAAAAATCCTTCTTTAACCTATCTCCTCCCCTTTATCTACACTGATTGAAGCAGATTTAACAAGTGACATCAACAAGGGATCATAGCTTTCACCTGGATTCACCTGGTCAGTCTGTCATGGAAAGAGCAGGTGTTCATAATATTTTGAACACTGTGTTTATGTCTGTCAAGGGCCGCAAAATGCTGGGAACTTTCAATAAATTCCCTGGTTTTCCTGAAATCCATATATTTTGTATTTGAGATTCTTCAAATAGCCACCCTTTGCCTTGATGACAACTTCGTAACCTACCTTCATACAACCAAAAGAGAATGTTCAAAGAACGTTAAGAAACCCATCCGTTTATTCCTTTAGGGAACATTGGTGCAACGTTCAGGGAACATTCCCAGAACCAACATGAGTTATCGGGGCAGTGCCATAATAAGCCAGGAGTTATCTTGAGCTGTAGGCTATTCTAATGGCATCCTACACAGTTTAAAGGTGGTCTGCATGTACACTACCGGTCAAAAGTTTTAGAACAGCTACTCATTCAAGGGTTTTCTTTATTTTTACTATATTCTACAATAGTTAAGACATCAAAACTATGAAATAACACATATGGAATCATGTAGTAACCAAAAAAGTGTTAAACAAATCAAAATATATTTTATACTTGAGATTCTTCAAATAGCCACCCTTTGCCTTGATGACAGCTTTGCACACTCTTGGCATTCTCTCAACCAGCTTCACCTGGAATGCTTTTCCAACAGTCTTGAAGGAGTTCCCACATTTGCTGAGCACTTGTTGGCTGCTTTTGCTTCACACTGTCGTCCGACTCATCCCAAACCATCTCAATTTGGTTGAGGTCGGGGGAATGTGGAGGCCAGGTCATCTGATGCAGCACTCCATCAATCTTCTTCTTGGTAAAATAGCCCTTACACAGCCTGGAGGTGTGTTGGGTCATTATCCTGTTGAAAAACAAATAATAGTCCCACTAAGCCCAAAGCAGATGGGATGGCGTATCGCTGCAGAATGCTGTGGTAGCCATGCTGTTTAAGTGTGCCTTGAATTCGAAATAAATCACAGACAGTGTTACCAGCAAAGCACCCCCACACTATAAAACCTCCTCCTCCATGCTCTACGGTGGGAACTACATATGCGGAGATCATCCGTTCACCCACACCGCGTATCACAAAGACACGGCGGTTGGAACCAAAAATATCCAAGTTGGTCTAATGTCCATTGCTCATGTTTTTTGGCCCAAGCAAGTCTCTTCTTCTTATTGGTGTTCTTTAGTAGTGGTTTCTTTGCAGCAAGTCGACCATGAAGGCCTGATTCACACAGTCCCCTCTGAACAGTTGATGTTGAGATGTGTCTGTTACTTGCAATTTCTGAGGCTGGTAACTCTAATGAACTTATCCTCTGCAGCAGAGGGCACACTGGGTCTTCCATTCCTATGGCGGTCCTCATGAGAGCCAGTGTCATCATAGCGCTTGATGGTTTTTGCGAGTGCACTGGAATAAACTTTCAAAGTTCTTGAAATTTTCCAGATTGACTGACCTTCATGTCTTAAAGTAATGATGGACTGTCGTTTCTATTTGCTTATTTGAGCTGTTCTTGCCATAATAGTCTTGGTCTTTTACCAAATAGTGCTATCTTCTGTACCCCCCCCCCCCTTGCCACAACACAACTGTTTGTCTCAAATGCATTAAGAAGGAAATAAATTCCACAAATTAACTTTTAAGAAGGCACACCTGTTAATTTAAATACATTCCAGGTGACTACCTCATGAAGCTGGTTGAGAGAATGCCAAGAGTGTGCAAAGCTGTCATCAAGGCAAAGGGTGGCTATTTGAAGAATCTCAAATATAAAATATTTTGATTTGTTTAACACTTTTTTGGTTACTGCATGATTCCATATGTGTTATTTCATAGTTTTGATGTCTTCACTATTATTCTACAATGTAAAAAAATTTAAAAATAAAGAAAAACCCTTGAATGAGTAGGTGTTCTAAAACTTTTGACCGGTAGTGTATGCACGTGGTGGACGCAAGCACAAGAGAGACGTTGATCACTAAAACATTGTGAAACGAATGCTGTAGGGGCAGTTGCCCATTTCCGTACAGTAGAGCTCGGGAGTTTAATAAGCGCATTTGGAATTCCACCCTCCGCCTTTGTTGTGCACTGCGAGGGGCGGGAATACAAACAGATCTACATGTATAAAGAGAGTCGTGCATCAGGATACCTCAAAATACCCTTCTATCAACCTCTTGAGACTGTGGTAGGATTCAAGACTTAGCGGACTTTTTAACAATACCCTACATTTTGACGGATTTTGTATTCATTTTTAATTTATAAGACCGATCATTTATTTAAAGAAGTATGCCTAATCTGTCAGTCGGTCGTTTTATGGCCATGTATCTCACGCTGTTTGGATACCTTGGGGATGCTTACGCTGGGGCTGTTTTACTGAACTCTAATGCCATCAAGAACGTGCCCGGTGGCGCTGACACGGTTAGCCCGAGCCCACGTCCTTCTTCATCAGGTAACGACGGACAGAAGGCAGTCCTGGACACTTTGCAGGTAAGCAACTGCACTAAAAGCTCTAGCAAAGCTCTAGCAGCTGTGCGTAATACCAACACTAACCTATGCCCAAGCGCTTCTTGGGCACTTTATCTTACCCTTACCTACGCTATTACTGAAATGCGTTTTGCAATTCTATTCCAATTAAAGTAAATATTGTGTTATGTCTTTATGTTAGCTTACTTGCACATATGATGATGAGTGTGGGACGGATGAATTCTGCAACGATATCCGAGGCGCGTGCCTCCCGTGCCGAAAGATCCGGAAGCGGTGCGGAAGAGATTCTATGTGCTGTGCTGGGAACCGCTGCATCACTGGTGAGCTCAACATATGCAAATGTTACATGTTTGTTTTTCCAACCATTTTCAGATCATTACACTTGTAATCCATGCGAGGACTTTGATGTATTGACGTTTAATGGGAGGGTGTATTGTAATTATCTTGAAAACTTTACTTGTGTTCAATTGAAGTGACTGGATGATACCATGTGCCTTTTTCCTCAGGTGTTTGTCAGGCCAGTGATCAAGATGCTGAAACTGCAGTCACTACCAGTGAGAATAGGCAGAACAAAACCATGGAACACTATGGCAAGAGACTGCCTCTGCCCCAAGGTCAACCACACCATTCTGTTAAAGGTAGGTGTGCATTACACATGCACACACAGTCCCAGTACCACCCATAAAGATCCAATAGATTTGTCCTTTCCACCAGTCCCCTGGGAATAAATTACCATTAAAAACACAAAGCCAAGGGGGTTGAAAGGAAACTTTTGATTTTCAAAATTCCAGCTGTGAGGCCTTTCCAACAGAACCCTTCATATTCCTCTCTCTAGGTCAGGAAGGTGACAACTGCCTAAGGTCCTCCGACTGCTCTGTGGGTCTGTGCTGTGCACGCCACTTCTGGTCTCGTATCTGTAAGCCGGTGCTGACGGAGGGCCAGGTGTGCACGCGTCACCGTAGGAAAGGCGGCCATAGCCTGGAGCTGTTCCAGCGCTGCGACTGTGGAGATGGCCTCTCCTGCAGACTGGAAAGAGGAGAGAAAGACCCCGGAGTCAGCAGGACCGCAGCCCGGAACCTACACACCTGCCAGAGACGCTGACACACATCCTGGACATACACACTGCCTCAGATGTTGACACACAGTCTCGAACATACACACTTCCCACAACCAACATCTGTCAGAGATGCTGACACCCACACAACACCCAGAAAGGAAGAACGGGTTCCGGGGAAAAGTGATACACCCAGAGGGATGCGATGGACTGATCCAATTACCCCTGATGCAGGAGAATGCCGAATAAGGAAGTTATTGGAAAGATCGATACATGTCATCAAAAATGGCAGAGTTGTTTTGTTTCTTTTTATGAAACTTAACCTTGATTGCAGTAAATTACTGCATTGTAAATACTATACTGGAGGTGGCACTTAACGGAGCTATTGAATTCTGTCAACACCTGTATTATAAATAACATGGTGCTGCATAGTTCATTTCCAATATTGTAAATGTGTACACAATGATTTATATTGTTATTTTCTGTGTAATGTAAATGTCATTTTTTTCACTTGTAAAGATATTTGTTTTATTAAAACATTCTAATTATCTGACCCATGTTGTAAGTGGCTGCTTGAGCTCTACAAGCAAAAAGCTTGTCTGGCCGTTACAATGGCTGTCAAACAATAATCTGGTATTTGATAGTGATCCAGGGGAAAGGTGCAAATCAAGCCATATGCCAACAGTGTTTGAATATCCATCCCAAAAATGATGTCCAACAGCTTAATGATTCAGTCAAGCTCTCCAAAGACGGGGTACGAAATGTTTTTAGCATTCCAAGTGTAACGTGGGGGAAATACACAAAATACTATTCCTTTAGCTGTATTAGGTCAACTTTTTATTCACCAGGTGAGGTCCACGGGACTAAACTAAACACAGGTTCTTTGTATCAAGGAGTGGAGTGTGGGAATCAGACAATTTCAGCATCACAACTCAGTCTTCATAGGCTTACATAATTTCCATACATATTCAGCTCCAGGAGCTCCGTACAACTGTCCTACAAGACAGACTTTAACAGATAGCAATATCAGATTTCTAACAAACAAATATCACTAGGTTTATACGTTTCACTCACATACTCAAACAGACAATAATAATGTGTTGCAACACTCACACAGGGCATGCCCAGGGAGAAGGAGAGCAGGTCTAGGTGGAATATGGGCACCAACGCCTAAAAATACTCCATTTACAATAATTCCTATTTATAATAATATAATAATAATTTATTTATCATACTTCACCGCTACTATCCTCCCAAGGCCCCCCCAACCAGCACATAGTACAGGGATCCCCTTGTTAACACAAACAGGAAGGCTTTTATACAAAAGGCCATGCCCTTAATTAAAAACTGCATACACCTGGCACAGGCAAACCAACAAGGGTGCGTTCAAAATAGGTAGACTGTTCTACCCCATTACACAAGCTAGCAACCACCCCTTTAGGGAAGCAAGGAGTTATTCAGACATGCTCTTGGTAGCATTTACCTCCTAACCCGGTCGACACAAATTAGTGGTCAAAACTGGATGGAAAGTTTAAATGTTTGACCCAGATATCCTGGTCATGGTTTTTACACATACACACTAGTGGAGGCTGGTGGGGTTAGCTATAGGAGGACAGCCTCATTGTAATGGTTGGAATGGAATAAATGGAACGGTATCAAACACATTAAACATATGGAAACCAAATGTTTGACTCAGTTCCTTTTATTCCATTCCACCATTACAATAAGCCTGTCTTCCTATAGCTCCTCCCACCATCCTCCACTGACACACACACACACACACACACACACACACACACACACACACACACACACACACACACACACACATCACATCACATCAAATATCACATCACTTATCACATCACTTACCACATCACAAAACAACATTCCTTTGTGACAATATGGGGTGCTTGACCGTAGGAGAAATGTCACAGTGGTGAGACACAGTCCTTGGGCCATGCATGGCTTTCTGTAAAAACCACACCTAGCTCCTTACAGACAGGAACACTATAGCAGGGTACTACAAAGACAATAACACTGTATCCAGTGACAAGCGGCCATATCAAATGAAAAGAGTCAATAGATAGGTTTCCATCCAATTGGTGACAGATTTTCATGCAAATATTCTAAAATCCGCATGGAAACAATATGCATATTTTCCCACCAGACATGTTTCCATCAAATTGACTTGTTGTAGTTAAATTCCCATGTACCTAATAAAAAATACAAGTTAAAAGGTACAATATGCAGAAATGGCTCCACCATTTCCTAGTTGCTAAAATTCTAATAGTTCGCCTAATTTCAGTTTATGTGACAAAACAAGCAGTGTAGAGAATCATTGTACCATCTAAATCGCTGTAAAATATATTTTCAGTAACCAAAAACATGATTTTGGAATGAGATGTCCGACGTGCAGGTGGCCACATACTTTTGGTCATATAGTTCACCAAATTCTACCTGCATATCTCTAATTAGGACGAAGTGGATTACATGATGGTGAGGGAATGACTATTTCTTCTGCCCCAGAATAGCAGACAGATTTTCATGTTGACTGTGTCTTCTGCCCCAGAATAGCAGACGGATTCTCATGTTGACATCCCAGTGATTTGGATCAAAGGGTGACAAAGAGAAACATTTGATTTCTAACCATGCAAAGTGCCATCTGCAACAGTTTATGTCACAGCCATATACAGTATGATGGTTAAAGATGGATGGTGTTCATGCAGTATTGGCCCGATTAAGACTGGGGCTGAGATTGTGGCCTGGTGAGCGATGCTCTTCGCCCTCACCTTCACCTGCAACCATGCTGCCAGGTCTGTTAGGGCATAGGTGCCTCTCAAGCCCTCTTTCAGGATGCCTTTGTTCAAACAATGTTCGATGAAACTGTCTCTGAGGTGGGCTGGAAGCTTGCCAAGGAGCCTGTCCACGTGGGAGCCACATTTCAGCTTGTTCCCGTCCTCTCCTTCAATGGATGATTGGGAAAGAAAGGCAGACAGGTCAGGTCCATGTGGAGTGGTGGTCAGGTCAACTCCCTTTTCTTTCCTCTCCAGGAAGGATGAGACCATCCGTGTCTCCTCCAATTCCCTTCTTGCATGACGGCGCAAACACTGCTGTGCCAGGTCTTTGGCAATGAATTCCCGTTCCTGTAGAGCTCTACGGGCCTGCACATTCAATTGGTGACATCGTTCATCAGCCTGTCGTTCCTCCTCAATCTGATGCTCAATTTCCTCCAACGCTAGTAGTTTCATCTTCTCTCGTAGGACAGCGGTCTGTGAATCACTGAGGGCTAAGGAATGGCGGCTGCCATGGCCACTTCCAAAGGGGTATCCACCGGTCAAACTCTCACTCCGTCTAGAGTCACTCCGTCTAGAGTGCCTTGACGATTTCCCATGACTTAAGGGATGAGCGGAGCCTGCCTTGGGGAGCTGGTCGACCTGTACTGTGGGAGATACCTCTTCCATGGGTTCTTCCTGTAGACCACTCTCCTGTTCCAAAGCAGTTTCCGGTCCTTGGCTCGGACGGAATGGTTGATGGCTGAAACTTACAGTTAATCCATTTCTGCTTTGAGCCCTAGTGGGCTTTCCCTTTGGTGGGGGAAACTCCACCACATAACCCTTAAGATAACCAGGTGGTTGTCTGGTTCTCCTGGTGCTGCTGGTGGTTGAAGATGAAGCCTTATTTTGTGTTTTATTTGTATTTGTATTTATAAGGGATCCCCATTAGCTGCTGCCAAGGCAAATATAAAATAAATAAAATATAAAACAGTACATCATATGACATTATTACACCACTACCTATCTACAATACAAAATGTTTAATACCACCATACAACAATTTCACAATGTGTGCATATGCTTGTGTCTATACCCTTGTGTGTGTCTCTTCACAGTCCCCGTTGTGGGTAGCTGGACAGGTAGGATGACTGACAATAGTAAAGGTAAACAGGTGGTCACGGGTCAGGTGACAGAGGAATGGAGGAGACTGAGGCAGGAATTCCTTTAACCACAAAGTGGTATATTTACTGGGTAGTTTGTCTGTGCTACATAACAAAGGAAACAGAATAACATGTATCCAATCAATTCATAATGACAAAAGTCAAATCATAACAATCATTCTCATTATTAACATAAAGAGTTAATTCAGTAATTCAGTTCAATAGGAATTCAATATGAAGCATGATTGAGTTATTTAGGATCATAACCATTTATCATAATCATGACAATGAGAATGCAAATAAATCGATCAGTTATCAATTATTCAATCTATAATCTCAATCAGTTTGTCAGGACTTCCTCCAAAACTGCCTCCCCTCCTTGTTCGGGCAGGCTTCGGCGTTCGTCGTCACCGGCCTTTTAGCCACTGCCGCTCCATATCTCATCATTCCATTTGTCTTGTCTTGTCAATTACACAAACCTGGTTCACATTCCCCTCATTAGTACATGTATAAGTGTTCCCTCTGCCCCCTTGTCCTTGTGGGTGATTGTTTCATGTGAGATGAGTGGCGCAGTGGTCTAAGGCACTGCATCGCAGTGCTAGCTGTGCCACTAGAGATCCTGGTTCGAATCCAGGCTCTGTCGTAGCCGGCCGCGACCGGGAGACCCATGGGGCGGCGCACAATTGGCCCAGCGTCGTCCAGGGTAGGGGAGGGAATGGCCGGCAGGGGATGTAGCTCAGTTGGTAGAGCATGGTGTTTGCAACGCCAGGGTTGTGGGTTCGATAAAAATAATGTCTGCGCTCTGGATAAGAGCGTCTGCTAAATGACTAAAATGTAAATGAGTGTAGCTACCTGTACTTTGTATTGCCAGGGTATATTTTCCCCGCGTGCCTGTATTTGTTGACGCTATCCAGCATAACTGTGTACTACGGAATAAACTCTGTATTCTGTGATTTACCCTCCTGCGACTGACTCCTTCAAATCACACTCTCACACAGTTTGATATCAGGATCTATCAATGTAGCAAATAATAATTACGTTTCATATTTCATCCTTCCAGGTTTGCCTTCATATGTACATGTCATTTCATCACATTTTAACCAGATATCAATGGCA